AGAGAGAGAGAGAGAGAGAGAGAGAGAGAGAGAGAGAGAGAGAGAGAGAGAGGGTGGAACATTGCAGGGCGCACACACGTGAAAACGAGCTCAGCGCTGCAGGCGGGCACATGTGTGTTCTATTTGAATAGAACACCCAATTGTTCGAATAGAACAGACATGCATACTATTCGAATAGAACATCCGTGGATAATATTTCAACCTGTGTACTATTTGTGGATCGGGGGGCGACTTTGAGAAATGGACTTTTTCGGAAGTTTTTCCAGGGAAAGTTGAATAGTACATACGTGCGTTTTGTTTGGGGGAAGACTGTAGGTTTGCTCGCTTTTTCAGGCATTATTTCCCTCCACATCCGGATTAGTGCTGTCCGGTAGGAAAGGGATGCTGCTGCATCCTTTCCAACAAGGGGTTCTCTTCTTCTTCTTCTTCTTCGTTGCCGTCCTGTTTTCGGACTCCATTCTTTGTTCATGATCCAGAGAAGCCCAGACATGTTTTGTGGATTTTCGATGGGTGTGTGTTCGGGACCGAATGCTATCCAATGCCATCTTGATCCATGGTAGGGACTGTTTGGTCAAAAAATTTATCGTCTATTTCGCTTGTCGAGCCTTGGTTTCCTGCCTAGGATTCAGGATCCCCACCCAGTCCTCCGCATGAGGGTTTTCGTGTAGTATAACGCCAAGCTTTCTTTGCAATTCTTCGGTATATCTTTTTCTTTGTTTGGGTCTCCTGTCCAGAAGGAAGCTCCGGCCTTTCTCTTTAACTTTTCGATAGTGCCAAAAAGAAAGTAAAAAGGTAGTTAACTTTTCGATAGTGTCATCTGGTATCATAATCCATATTGAGGCTACGTACCACATCATGGAGAAGATCGAAGTGTTGATAATTAGGGCTCTTTAGGGCTCTTTCCCATAATAAGAAGAACGCTTGTCCGCGGTTCACCATTCTGTTAATTTGGTTCGCTAACGTGTGTGGTGCCATCTGTCGGGAGGGGTTGTCCTTTATGATTTGGATTCCCCGGTATCTTGTCGGTCTCTCCGGTTTCTCCCACGTCATCCGGCTCTCTGGTCCCTGCAACTGCAGGGCTTCCGCGTCTGACCACCACCTCCAACTTGGAATAAGCGTAACAAATAAATAATTCATTTTAATTAATCAAATTTAATGGTTAAATGAATATACTTTTTGTGTATTTTGACAGGGTAGTTATGAAAGAGAGATCACTGTGACAAGTTTTTCCAAAAAATTGTATTGTCTTTCCCCAGTCTACCTTCATTTCTGATGCTAATTCGAAAGCTTCCATACGCCCGGACCAATGCTCTAACTGATGGATTTGAATCTCGGATCAAGAGCGTCAAGTCATCTGCAAGGAAAATGAGCAATAGCGAAAGGACAGATTCCAGATTGCAAAATCACATTGAAAGCGAGGAAAGTCCGACACTGTCGAGAAAGCAGAATTGCACCGATAATACACCAGTGGAGATCCAAGACACTGAATCCAAGTGTCAATGAGAGCATGCTCTCGTCATCACCAACGTAAGTATCCAGAGTTCTTCCTCCTATCTGGCGCTCAGCGCCCAGACTACAATCACACAGTACTACCAGCCTACGAATTGACAATGCAACTGTTGACGTCAGCAGCCGAACCGAAGTACACGAAAATGTTGACCCTTGAAGACAATCGCCAAGACCAGGTACGTGCCCTCACATCATCATCGTCATCTCCCTCTCTCTCTCTCTCTCTCTCTCTCTCTCTCTCTCTCTCTCTCTCTCTCTCTCTCTCTCTCTCTCTCTCTCTCCCCCTCGTCTTCTCTACCCACGTCTTCCTCCCCATACACGAAGACCACCACCACCWCCACTGGCTGTTCAAGCCAAGCCCTGGCTATGTAGGGCTGGCTATGGCGCTGCCCTTAGCAGTGCCCTGCCTTCTTCCAGCGCCCGCGCGCACTGCCTGGCACCTAGCAGTACCGTCTTCCCCCGAACATAACGCACCCTAAAATTGAATGTATACAAGCTATATTTCCGGCTAGAAACAGCCAAAATAAGGGTGCGTTGTGTTCGGGGGAAGACGGTAGCGCACAGCGCACAACCCGCGAGTGCATGCTCCAGCAGCGCTGCCTCATGCACTGCCTAGTGCCCCGATGAGCCCACCAGTGGCGAGCTCTTTCCTCGCCCAGTTTGCTGTCTGGCTGGGCCTCGTGTGTTTCCAGTAGCTTCCGATTGGGCCAAAGTGTCTGCGCCCAGGCCCATTCAGACCGTGTCCTGGGATTGAATTGGTTGGGCACTCCCAACCACCCAGGAGTAAACGTGAGGTTCTCCCTGCTTTGCTTTTGCTGCTGGAAGGTTCTTTCCTAGAAGGCTCATAAATTATTTCTGATTCTCACGAGTACGGATGATGTAACCAACTGGCACATGGCAACCGTCTGGCGATCACCAAACTTTGCCAACGTTGATGAACTCAGGCCATATTGAAATTCAGGGGCCCGCCTTCACTTAGGGGGGCTCATGCTTGCTGAAAGGGCCCTACAGGGCCATGCCGCGGAGCTAGCTCGGAAGAAGGCCTTGTCGAAGATCCATGCCCACATGGGGGTTCCAACAGGCTATGCTTGGGCCCCTCAGCCTGGTCTCATACCCCTATAAACAGACATTGGCACATATTTGCAGGCCCGCCTTCACGTAGGGCGGGCACGGCACGTTCAGACACTGCTGAGGGACTAAATCCTTTCTTTTCTTTTTTTTATAACAAAATTTGGACCATTTCTGGATTTATGCGTGTCATTCTTGTGCAGGGGCCATGCTAATCTTCTCTGTATCGTTCCAATTTTAATGGATGTCCCGAAGGACGCCGAGGGACGAAATCCTCGCACAATGGCCATGGGGAATTTATTGAATCGAATGGAATTGGTTGAATCCTAGGCTACCAGAGTGGCCCGGGGCCACTTGCCCGGCCGGGCAAAAAAAAATAAAAAAAAATAATAATAATAT